TTGCGGAGCACAGGCTCCGGACGCGCAGGCTCAGCGGCCATGGCTCACAGGCCCAGCCGCTCCGCGGCATGTGGGATCTTCCCGAACCGGGGCACGAACCCGTGTCCCCTGCATCGGCAGGCGGACTCTCAACCACTGCGCCACCAGGGAAGACCTGTTGGGAAGTTTTTGATTACTGGTTCAATCTCCTTATTTGTTATACATCAGTTCAGATTTTCTATTTCTTCTCGAGTCAGTTTTGGTAGTTTGTGTGTATAATAATCTGTTTCTACACACAACATTTCTGATACCAAGTGTGTGTGTTTTCCACATCAAGCAGTTTTCCAATTCTCTGTGGATACCAACTGGGTGTTCTATAATTTAATTCATTTTTGACACTACCTGGAGTTAATACAACCAATTATACATTCAAATTAGGGGGAAAAAAAAGTGCTGCTGGAAAATGGCACCGGTAGACTTGCTTGACGCAGGGTTGCCACAAACCTTCAATTTGTAAAAAAACCCACAGTATCGGGCTTCCCTGGTGGCACAGTGGTTGAGAGTCTGCCTGCTGGTGCAGGGGACATGGGTTCGAGCCGTGGTCTGGGAAGATCCCACATGCCACGGAGCAACTAGGCCCGTGAGCCACAACTGCTGAGCCTGCTCGTCTGGAGCCTGTGCTCCGCAAAAAGAGAGGCCGCGACAGTGAGAGACCCGCGCACCGCGATGAGGAGTGGCCCCTGCTTGCCACAACTAGAGAAAGCCCTCGCACAGAAGCAAAGACCCAACACAGCAAAAATTAATTAATTAATTAATAAACAAACACAACCACAGTAGCTGCAAAGTGCAATAAAGTGAAGTGCAACAAGACGAAGTATGCCCATACAAGAGTTTTAGGAGCTCTCTGTTAAGAACCAAGGACAAAGACCAAATATATATTTCTTATTGTATCATGATATCAGTGTGTTTCTAGGAATTTGTTCATTTCATTTGTTATCCAATTTATAAAACCCTTACACTCCTTATTTCGGTAAGGTTGGTGGTAACGTCCTCATTTTCATTTCTAATTTTAATAATTTGAGTCTTCTTTTTTTCATAGTCAATCTAACTACAGGTTTTTCAGTTTTGTTAATCTTTTCAAAGAACCAACTCAGTTTGTTGATTTTCTTTTTTTTCTGTTTTCTATTTTACTTATCTCCACTTTAATATTTTTTATTTATTTCCTTATGTTGTACTTCTTGTAGTTCCTTAAGTTGTACAGTTAGGTTATCAATGTGAGAGCCTTCTTTTTTAAAATCTGTTTAACACATATATGTTTTAATTGAAGTATAGTTGATATACAATATTTCAGGTGTACAGCAAAGTGAATCAGTTACGTGTGTGTATATATATATATATATATATGCAGATTCTTTTCCATTACAGGTTATTACAAGGTATTAAATATAGTTCCTTGTGCTATATAGTAGGTCCTTGTTGTTTATCTGTTGGTTTTTTTTTGGCTGCGCCACGCGGCTTCTTGGATCTTAGTTCCCTGACCAGGGATTGAACCGGGCCCGCGGCAATGAAAGCAATGAGTCCTAACCACTGGACTGCCAGGGAATTCCCATTGTTTATCTATTTTATATATAGTAGTGTGTATCTGTTAATTCCAAACCGAAATTCCCAATTTACCCCCCCCCCCCCGCTTTAACAAGTATTTATAGAACACCGGAAGTGTGAGTGCTTAGATCTGATCCCCAACTTCTACGTGCTAATTGAGATATTTACTCCTCACTCCCTCAGATTTCCTAAGGATGAGACTGCTCAGTGAGACTCTGACTGTACCTGCTGCATCACAAAGATCTACGCAGAGCACGATGGGCATGGGGGCTGAGGGAGGAACACCCATGTAGGCAGTGTGGATCTCACCAGGTACATTTATTCATGCCAGCAGGTCAGTGGCAGGTTCCCATCTGACACAGCTTGCTGAAATCTACAGCCAGACTAACGTTCCCTCCAAGTAAAGCTGGTTAATGATGACCAAGAGCAGGCGCAGGACTGCTCACGGTCATCATGAGCAGTCAAATTTCAAAGCTTTACTTCTTTTATCAGTACTCCTGATTTTGTTTGTTTGTTTGTGTTTTTTTTTTTTTTTTTTGCAGTACGCGGGCCTCTCACTGTTGTGGCCTCTCCCGTTGCGGAGCACAGGCTCCAGACGCACAAGCTCAGCGGCCATGGCTCACGGGCCCAGCCGCTCTGCGGCATGTGGGATCTTCCCGAACGGGGCACGAACCCGTGTCCCCTGCATCGGCAGGCGGACTCTCAACCACTGCGCCACCGGGGAAGCCCAGTACTCCTGATTTTATAAATGAAGCCCACCAACTCCATTCCTACCCAAACCTCTTGGTAAACTTGTGTATAGTAGGGCTTCACAGGGATCCAAATATTTTTTTTTCCAAATATTTTTAATAAAGCTTTGAAGCATATGGGAGTAGGACCAAAGACTCAGGCTGACCCAACCTGCAAGATCCTTCTGCTTTCTAAAAATTTTTTTTAACATTTTTTTGTTTGTTTTTTTGTGTTGGGTCTTCATTGCTGTGCGTGGGCTTCCTCTAGTTGTGGCGAGCGGGGGCTACTCTTCGTTGCGGTGCGTGGTCTTTTTGTTGCTGTGGCTTCTCTTGTTGCAGAGCAAGGACTCTAGGTGCATGGGCTTCAGTAGTTGCAGCATGTGGGCTCAATAGTTGCGGCACACGGGCTCAGTAGTTGTGGCTTGTGGGCTCTAGAGTGCAGGCTCAGTAGTTGCGGCGCACAGGCTTAGTTGCTCTGCAGCATGTGGGATTTTCCTGGACCAGAGATCGAACCCATGTCCCCTGTGTTGGCAGGTGGGTTCCTAACCACTGCGCCACCAGGGAAGTCCCCTTCTTTTTAATGTAGACATTTACAGCTATAAATTTCCCTTAGCAGGATTTTTGCTGCATCTCATAATTTTTGGTATAGTGTATTTTAATTTTTATTAATTTCAAGGTATTTTCTAATTTCCCTTGTATTTTCTTCTTTGACCCATCAGTTAGTTAACAGTGTTAGTTAATTTCCACATATCTGCAGATTTTCCTAGTTTTCCTTCTCTTATTGATTTCTAACTTCATTCCTTTGTGACAAGAAAAGACACTTTGTATGATTTCAATCTTTTCTTTTTTTTTTTTTTTTGCGGTACGCGGGCCCGTCACTGCCATGGCCTCTCCCGTCGCGGAGCACAGGCTCCGGACACGCAGGCTCAGCGGTCATGGCTCACGGGCCCAGCCGCTCCGCGGCACGTGGGATCCTCCTGGACCAGGGCACGAACCCGCGCCCCCTGCACCAGCAGGCGGACTCTCAACCACTGCGCCACCAGGGAAGCCCTGATTTCAATCTTTTAATATTAAGATTTGTTTTGTGGCCTAACATATGGTCTCCAGTTAACTTTACAGATGAACATGAAGCTCGGAGGTGAAATGACTTTCTGAAGGTCACACATTTGTTTAGTTATAGAATTAGGGCTAGAACCCAGGTCTTTTGATTCTTAGTCATTCATCATTGACATTTGATAAGATGTATTAAAAGTGTGAAGGGGCTTAAGGAGCCAAACTTTGCTGGCTCTTCTGCTTTCTCCTATCACTTGAAAGTAAGTATTCTCCAAGGTTTTGTTTGTCCTCCTACCTCCACACATTCTCTAGCTGCTTCCATTGCAGCCTCCTTCCAGCTTGGAATGCCAGTCCCCTTTTCCAATTCCATGCCTGTTATTTCTACTTTAGTGATATGTGAGAACCTTAGAACCAACATGTGATAAAAGGAACTCAGGTTTTTCTCTGCATTCCGTCAGCAAATTTTCCTAGCATTCCTTTTTTTGTTGTTAACGGTACTGCCACTCATTATCCCAGTGACTCAGGGTGGGAAGACTGAAGGTCAATTTTAATTTTTTTTCCCTTCACAAGGTCTTCAAATCTGATTAGCTGGAAACTCTTGTGGTTTCCCTCTGTAGTACTATTCCTATTTGTCCTTTCTTTCACATTTTCACTGCTATTCTATTACCTTTTGCCTGTATTATTGTAATAACCTGATAATTTATGCTGCTCTTTAATTACTGCTATACAATATTTATAATCTTTTTAAAGAATAACTATGACGGTGTCATCCTCCTCGCAAAATCATCAAACAGTAGCTTTCTTGCACCCACTGAATAAGGTGCACACTTCTCAGCTTGCCATCCAGGGCTCCTCATAATTTTGTTCCAAGCTTTTTATTCCACGTTTATTGCAGACTTTACCACACGGCATATGCTCTAAGTACCTAAGCCTTAGTCTTGCAACACATACTGTACTGAGTACAAGGTGCTGCGAATCCATTGGGAAGCAAAACAGACCAGGTCCTTTCCCATTCTTGCCTCCTGGATCTCAGTCTGATCTTGGACCTACTCTTCTGCACCTTGCACTCCAGACCAGGCTCCTCTAAGAACTTCCCTGTTCCTACCCATGGTGGGCCTAAAGGGAAAAAGGCGGCTGAGGAAGAGGAACAGGAAAAGATTGCAAAGTGCGAAGGTCAAGTGTGAAATCTGCAGCCCTCCTTCCCCTATCAACTACAGCAGGGCCCAACTCTTTACCCCGGAGTTAAACGGGTCTGAATAAGGGCCAGGACTGGGCTTGGCTGAGAAAACGGGGGCAATGGGAGAGAAGTTGGTTTCGGAGAGGAAAGCTTGCGATTTCAAAAACCTTTACAGCCTCTCGTTTCTCAGTCCGCAGTCCAGGCTCTCCTGCTCACTCTCTCCTGGAGCCGTCCAAGCTAGCCTCACCTGGCCTCCCTCGCTCCCTCGTGGCGCTCTCCCTCCCCGCAGTCGCAGTTCCCGCCTAGAGCAGCCGCTGAGCCCACGGAGGAGGGGCGTCTAGCTGGTTCCAGCCTCTTCGGGCACTTAGCTCGCGGACCCGCCCCCCGCGCCAGTTGCCAGGGAGCGGTTGCCATAGAGCTGAGCAGTTGTCCGCGTGCGCAGGCGGAAGTCCCGGATTGAGGCGCCGCCATTTTTGCAGCCCGGGCGCGGAGCGAGAGGCTGAGAGTTGGAGACGCTATCCGCTTCCATCCGTCGCGCAGACCCTGCCGGAGCCGCTGCCGCTATGGATGATCGGGAGGATCTGGTGTACCAGGCGAAGCTGGCCGAGCAGGCTGAGCGATACGACGGTGAGTTGGCGGGGCAACGGGGGGCTGGAATTCTCGGACCCTCTGCCGCCGCCCACAGAGGCCGGGAGCAGGAGACAAAATGGCGGCATCGTCTCCAAGCCTAGCCCGGGGACGTGGATTCGGGAAGCAGGAAATGGCCTCTGGGCTCCCGGAGCGGTGGGAGGCTCCAGGCTCAGGAATTTGACCTGTTCGCAGTCCTCAGCTGCAGACATTCGCGAGCCGAGGAGACCAAGGCCACAGGGTGGAGGAGTTGGTTGTAAAATGGCGGCTTGGGGGGGAGGGCGAGTCCCGGGGCGGGGGCGGGGGAGGAGATGGCGGGTGCTGTCTCCGGGCGAGCAATCCCCAGGGGAGTTTCTGGGCCGGTTTTGGGACGTGGTGAACAATTTGGTGGCGTGATGAGGGAAGAAACACCCGCCACATGGGGGAGAGTGGCGACTCGGCGCTGTAGCGCGGGCGCCTTTCAGGGAAATATGGCGGGTGGGGGCGGTGGCTTTTCCCCGGAGGCCCAAAGTGGGGCGGCGGCTGTGGAGTCTCACAAAGGAGAACCCTTGCAAGCGGAGGCCTTCTCTGGGCTTGTGGTGGGGGGCCGTCTTGGATGAGGGTGGGGGAAGGGGGGAGAGAGTGGGAATCACTGCAGTTCATCCTTGGGCGGAGGCCAGCTGAGATGCTACGGTCGGATTTCCTTCCCGTAGGCCGGCACACCTTGTAGCGGGGTTTTTTAGGCTTTCCGTTCAACCTCGCTTTTTTCTAGGGAGGTCTAGAAAAATCTCTTTCACGTTCCCTGTTCTCAGACTTATCCCAGAGAGCTCGAAGTTTCTGTAATCATTTTCTGGCTCCATAAGTTGTGGGTTCTGCTGGATAGAACATTGAACAGGAAACAAGGAGATCATGACTCTTAGTCTCTTTTCCATGCCTGTGCTTCAATCTACCGGTATTTAAAAATGATGACTTTCCTGTTTACACGCAGCGTTATGACAAATGGAAGGACCTGTTGAAAAATAAAGTTTTTTCAAATAACGTGTAGTAACTATTTTGGTTGACTCCCCTGGCTTGGAATGCGTGTTCGTACTTCATTGGGGATATTCAGTTATTCCAAAGCACTCAGCAGAGACTTCGGTTTTTGTATTAAGAACATAAGGGATCCCAGCAGATCCTGTTTTCTTTTCTCCAGTTTTAATAGACGGCTTTATATACAGATTGGAACAGTTCTTCTTTGTTCATCGCTCCTTTGTTCCTAAAGGTGCTATAGTCATTTTTCATAACTTTATCGAAGTGGCCATTGTGTCTCTTTGCTCAGTCCCAAACTGCTGCTTTTTTTAATTGCCCCTCCCGGCCTGGGTCCCTCCCTTCCCCCATTTTGGACCTAGGTATTTGAATTATCCCCACATCCTTTAAACTAGTATTATCAAAACAAAAAATCATATGTATGCTTTTTGTGTTTTTAATGCTGTTGTGGGGTGAGACATGGTTGGAATCAAGTGTCAGTGATCTTTAGATTTTGCTTCATTAAACCATTTATTTTTCAACATGCTGTGTGGGAGCCTTGCTTTCCTTGAATGCCTGTTTGGTCATGTGAATAGCTTCAGGGCTAGTCCCAGTGTGTCATCATACCTTAGGATTCAGGAATTTGAAAATTAGGAGAAAAGACCTCGAACTCAAATTTAGGAAAGATCACTAAATTTCGTTTTGTAAATCCTTAAATTGCTGTTTGTATTGAACAAGATTTCTGTTGGGAGGAGGAGGGGAATAAGATGGGGAAATACAGCTCAAGGTCAGACTTGTCTTTATTTCAGTATTTAAAAGTCAAACAAATGTAGGTGTGCTTGTAATGGAAGTTTTTTTCTTCTTCCCCTCTCCTGCCCCAAATAGGTTCCCCTCTTAATCTACCAGTGCCCTTGGGAAGAAACTCTAAATTGTATTTGAATGTTTTTTGTTGTGTAGGGATTTAGGCTTTGAGTAAACCTGCTGTGATCACCAAAAAGGACATGGAGGAAGGTTTTTTTAAGAACTTATTTTAAAAACTGATTTGGAAGCTTGTATTGTAGCTTCCAAGTAAGTGACAGTTTAGTGTGAAAATCATATTTTTGGAATTGGGTGTTGAGGATTTTTGACCAAAGGCTTAATTGGTTATTCATCACAGGACTATAGAGCCACATCCTTACTGTTGTTTAAACATTAGGGTTGTCCTTCAGGATCTAAGGGTGGGGGGTATATAGGATCTCCCAGGTGGAGAGGATCTCTTGTGACTTTTGGGCACAAAATTGGGAGGGATTCATTGGAAAGGAAGAAGAGGAAGACAGTCATTAGGAATCATCCTCTACCTTTGTCCACTCCTTTATTGGGTGCAATAATTCAGTTTTGTTTGTGGTCACAAAAAAAATGACCCCATAGTTATAAGTTGCCAAACAATATATCAGGTATGGGGAAGGTGAAGAGTGCTTTTGATGATTTGGTTTGGTGTAGTTGGATATACATATTGGCTTTTTTCCTTGTTCTCGGAGTACCTTTAGCTTTTATCTTGCATGCTATGTTGAACCTAGTACTTCAACTTTTTTGTGGCATCATTTAACTTTGTCCTGGTGAATTGGAATCAATTGATGCAGATTATTTAATGGTACTGGAGGACGAGCTAAGCTGTGTTCAGGAAAAGGACAGTTTGGTGTTGCAGATGGGAAATATTGAAGTTTGGGGCTAGGACTGTTCACTTTGAAGATTAAATCTAGCATCTTATCATGTAACAACAGTAGCCTAAGGGATGGTTTTTATATCATTCATAACCATATTAAGCAAACCCATCATCTTTTAGCATTTCTGAAGTCTTAACTTCTCATGTATATGAACCATATTAGTATGGGAAAGTGGGGAATATAGAGGGGAGAAAATGAGTACTTTCTACATTTTTTGAGAATAGAGCAGTCACCATAAGCTACATTTGGGTTGTGGGGTAGTGCTGGTTTTGGCCTTTTCTCACTTTTCTTCTCCATGTGATGATTAGCTCCACATGAGGTAGGGGTAACATTTTGATGGTCGAGTTTGATTCAGTCTGTGAACGGAACACCAGGAATGCATCTGTTCTGTGTCACTTGAGAGCTGTCCTTTTAAGACACCAGAGCCTCATCTCTGGCTTATTTTGGTAGTCAGTGAGGGGTGGGGGGCATGTTTTGAATTACCTCCTTAATATACATCTTGTTAGGGGAAAAAAAATGGGTAAGAGTAAATTGACTTTAGTAATGAGTTTAAAAGCACAGGTTAATTATCAGTTCTTTGACTATAGGCCAGTAATAATTTTTATTGTTGCTATTTCACTTAATGCTGAAATTGCTATTTTAGTTAATGGAGTTAAATTTATTGAATACATTTCTCCTATCTAAACATAAGCAGAGTTGGATAATGCAATTTAAAAATTCCTCCTACAGTAGCTTTTAGTCTTTGTGTTTAAGGTAGATGCTCTTTTGTGTATATTTTAGTGCATATACACAATATATAGTTCAGTCTATTCTGTTGGCTTACAAAACTACAGAATATAATGAAATCATGAATCATTGCAATTTGAGGTGGTGATGGGGTAAATTCTTACTGTGGACATTTCTAGGCACCCTTTTCACCTTTGAATTCTAGTATGGGGAAGAACACAGATACTAAACTGAGCAAATTTTGGATTCATTAAGTACAAGCAAACCCGCTGAAAGTCCATACGAATAAGCAGGCTTTTCATAATTGTTTTATAGCTTGGTCAAGGGAATATGAAATATTCAGAAAATTTCTTGACTTTAACCTGGTATAGCAAGTGAAATTTCAGCACAGTAAATTAATGTATCTAATTTTACAAATGAATTTCAAATACTTTAAGAAGCTGATCTGAAAGCATGATTTTTTTTTTTAAAGGGCTGTAAGGCTGATTTTCCAGCAATTTTTTAGCCTTATATTTAAGTAAAGTGTATTTAAACAGTAGTGACAGGCATAGGATAAAGGTTAAAATTTTAAAGTTTACGTTATATAATTTCATATTTATATAGAACTTCACATTTCACAGACCACTTACAGAAAATTTTTTACTTATTTCATGTGATATTGAAGTAGGTAATGTTAATTCCATTTTATGGTTCAGGAAAGTGAATTTGAGAAGATTTAGTGATTTTTTGTTTTGTTTTGTTTTTTAATTTTCCTGTATCACATGATTAGTTGGCAAGTACATGGCAAAGCCAGAACTTGTCTGTCTGATGACCTTTAGACTGGTACTCTTATTTCTCCTGAGCCACTCACAAAAGACCCATGTGTAACTAAATCAGATGGTGCCTTGTGGGAGGAGGGGTATGCTTATTTTTTTAGCAGTTACTTCACATAATATGTTTTGGTATTTATGACTTGACTTGTATCCATTGTAAATAGGTAAGATATCTTCATACTTTTCTAAAGAAACCTCTTGTTTTCTTTCAAAAACAAGGCACAGTGAATGAAGTTAGAGTGATGAATTTTAGGTAGTCTCAGAGTGTGTTTATAGTTAGATTTTTTGCTTTACCACAATTTCTGTATTGAGATACAACTTAATGCCATGCATTTCTGTAAAGTACTTCTAAAACGTTTCTGCCCCTCACCTTAGTCTTAATGAATGCAGCCCTTAAATTAATGATATAGTCATAAAAATTTGGGGGGCAGGGAGGTTGGCAAATGATTCTCAAATGTTCCAAATAGTAGCCTAGCTAGCTGTTAAGCAGAATCTATTAAGGGGTAGTGGGGAACAGAAACAAAATTGTTTTCACGGTTTTTGAAATGGTCAGTTAACAGTTTGATACAGTTAAATACAGATACATCCCAGTTGACAGATTGGTTTACCAAGATAACATTACTTTGAGCTCATTAACTAAATATTCATGCAAGTCCTAGGAGCAATTTCAGAAGCTCATTTAAGTTTACTAAGTTGTAATAACAACTGCCATAATAATAGAAGGGTCATAATTTATTCAAGTCAGAATACCTTGAAGTGAAGGGGTGCCAATTCA